ATTGTAGAGCTGTTAACTTTGTACTAGTATTAGTACTCTCAACCGAGTTTTTACGGACCTATTAAGGTACACACACATATAACTTCATGTTTAATAAACATAAATCTACATGTACACACTCTTAAAAAGGTTGTGTGATGCTTTTAAGGCAAAAATGCTCACAAGGCAAAACTCAACATTTGCAATAGTGCATGCCACATTTTGTTAATAAATAAGCATCCATAAAGTACAAAATATGCTGTTTCATACAAATAATACCAACTGCACAACAAAATAATGATAATAAAATATCATGATATAGAATTAAAGTCACATAGAATAATGTTCTTAAAAAGCAGTTTTGACACATGGAATGTACTGCATTTAAATTTTGTGCAAAATTTTCATAACTACACAATATATTATAATAATTAAATAACTCAGCTTATTTCAGAATTATTACTACTCTACTTGTCATGAACTCACTACAAATTAAGAGAAAAACAAGGCTTATTTAATGTAGTACATGGTTTAATGTAGTACATGGTAACATGCAAGTACAAAAATAAATAAACAAGGAGTGTAGATATGACAACTAAAAACTTTTCAATGCAGCAAAGAACATATAGAATTAGGACTTGTGACTAATGAAACTGATTTCATTTAATCGCCATTGCTATGAAACAATCGCCATGAAGCTATTACAGGTCAAATTTAAAAACTATTTTGCATGTTGTATAGTTCCCATAATGCTATAATGCTAGCAAGCATAATAGCATTATGCTAGCTTGTTAAGTACTCCACCAGTAAAAATTGTTCTTGCACACACACTTACCTACCATGTAAATTCTGTGGTTCATTTCAGGATAACTGATAGTTACATAGAAAATAATAAACCATAATTTTTAAAAGTAAAACTTGATACATATTTAGTACAGTTATCTATTAATATTTATGTTGTGATAAGCTTATAGCAAAATACAAGTAAATACATGAAAGTAAAATTAATGATGTTAGCAAAAGTACATACAATATGAAAATTTTAAATATATGGTAGATGAAAGGTGGATACATCATGCAATATCTGGTTATTAAGAACAAAAGTAATGATTGCCAGTAATTGCAATGGTAACTTTATTGCCATCTGTGCTCAGGCAATATCAATGCTATTATTATTCATGGTCCTTCATTGAATCTGATGCCTTAATGAATCTAAAATAAAGTGTCCATTTGAGACATAATGACAAAATACATTTTACATTCATGTACAGTCAGAGACATGGGCCTGTGAAAATTACTTCCTCAGTAACCATTAAGACAAATACATGTAAATCACATACCACTGCATTACTGCATAATGTCGATACATCCTTTTGTCTTTTTAAGAATACGGTAATGTCCATGGAACAAACTTTTTCTTGATTATGAGTTGTTCACTGTACTAAAAGAGAGAGAAACAGATGATAATTTGACTTGTACCAGTTGTAATTCTAGTTGTACAAGTGCCTTCAAAAAATTAAATTGATTTGTTAAAACATATGCATCCATTATACCATTAACAGAAAAGGCAACTTTTTTATTTTAATCCTGAGATAGAGAATGTGCTTTTACTTTTTCTCTTCGTTACTCTATTTGCACAAGTAGGACCTTTAAACAAATTAAATATAATAAAACAATAATCAACGAATAAATACCTAAGCAGTTTTCACACTTAAAATACAGATCCACCTTTACCTCTTGTAGCCTGAGTCCCAGTAACACATTTATAAAAAATTAATAAACAAATAAATCAAAAAATAATAATAGCAATAACAGAAGAAGCCATCTATACACTTAGATCCTTAATAGCATATACACTTTAACTTTTTGTGTAGCAGAAACAGCAAGGGTAGCATCAATAGCTAAACAAAATGATAACATTAAAATAGTAATAAATTGATATGAACAAGCATACGCACCACTAACAGCAATGTCAATAAAAGGATTAAGTGTTGGTATATGATTACGTAAAATTTCTTCAATATCGCCTGTAAATTATTGTCATAGCATAATTAAAAAAATATGAAACCTTCAGTTTCTTCATGACTTTGTTGACCTCATAAAACAATGCATTGGAATTAAATACAGTTAATAAAAACAATACCTGCTTCATATCATTCCTTCCACTTATTAAGCCTGAATCATACTTATTTTCATAATGCATCATGAAGATTTCTATCTCCTCTGCTGAAAACACCTTTTCAAACAAACCAATATTGATAAAGATAACAGTGTCCTACTTGTCAGATATCAACAACTACAATAGGATAGATGTAACATAATTCAATGAATGCTGCTGTTGGAATGCAACAGCAAGTCTTCTGGCTGTATATAGAGGTCCATTGTATCAAGATGTCTTGTAAGAAAAACACTCAGAAGTGCCAGTAGGTATACAACTCTAGATAAGACTTCTGTTTTTATTGCCGCAATGAGTTTCCGAAGGCACTTAAGAACTAAACATATGGGGAAAGGTTAATCCGTAATTCTTTTATATTTTACATACTTGCAGATAGCTTAAGTGCATGTACATTCATTTACCAAAAGTTTTGCTATTCAATTAAACACTAAGAAGGCCTAAATGTTTTTCTTTTCTATGCTAACAATTCACCCTATACAGGTATATACATATCAGACATGGGGTAATAGTAATAGATAATATTAATAGTAATAGTAAAGATTACATGTTTTAAAGTAATTGTAATAGTAATAGTAATGGAGGAATCAAAAAACCAAGTAATAGTAATTGTAATAGTAGGAGATAGTTAAGTAATTGTAATATAATAGTAATTGTACATAATGTTATACATTATTGTACAAGTATTCAATGTACATGTACAGGTACATGTATGTGCATTCAAGTCTGTCTGCTCTGACAAAAGCTTCATCTGCTCCAATGGAACAATTATTCAGTATGGGAGGGAAATTTTTTAGACCGGAACAATGCAGACTTTCTCATACTGTTTTTGAGAAACCTATAAGTGTAAAGTGTAATGGTCATTTGCTTTAAAGAGAATTGATTTGAAATTATAATGTAATCGTAATATAATTAGATTACATTTAGTCATGCATATGCAGTAATAGTAATAGTAATAATGAAATTAGTGAAGTAATAGTAATAGTAATATATTACATTTACATCTACTAAACATGTAATTGTAATAGTAATAGAATTTTTTTCTAGTTAATAGTAATAGTAATATATTACTTTCTAATGTAATTGACCCCATGTCTGATACATATAGTATAGGTAGCAAAGACAGATGGGACAAAACTACATACAATTACACTGACAACAAGAAATGGCAACTTTTTTCAATAGACGATCGCATGAAACAGTTATATGGTACGTAAAAAATTTTACTGGTAAGTAGTGTTGTTTTAGTTAACTATAACTAAAACAAAAACCACTTTTAGTTACGCATATTTACTTTCAGTTAACTAACTATCTAAAAGACATTGTAAAACAGAACTAACTATAACTAACTGAAACAACTCACAGATTTTAAAAACTAACTATAACTAACTAAAACACTTCACAAATTTTAAAAACTAACTATAACTAACTAAAATTTACAGTATTTCAACTAAAACATACGCAAACACTTGTCTATCACAGCCACCATCAGTAATTGTACAAACAATACATGCTGAATACATACAAGTGATCACATGGTTTGCACATGCTTTACACATGGCTTATGGTATTAGCCTAACAATTGAGTTGACCAATGGCAAAAAAAAGTCTCTTAAATCTTGCAATCAATCTGATTCATTAGAAGGACCAAAAAAGATCATTACTGGAAGGGCAAAAGGAAGCCTTGTTTAGGAGCTGTTCCCCTAGACCTTTTAGATTTTTGGACTCAAAATGAACACTTAATTCCAATACTAGCAACATTTGCTCAAGACATTCCCTTAACTCTAGCATCCTCAACCCCAGTTAAAATGATTTTTTCCAAAGCTGGTTACTCATCAAGTGGACAAAAAAATCGATTGGCTAAGAGTAATGTAGAACAAGAAGTACTGCTTAAAACAAATAAGCAATGCACATAAACATGCACTCACATTAACTTGGCATTGATTGATTATAATACACATAAAACATTTGCATAACTAACCACTACAATTTCAATGTATTGACGTTAATAACTATAACTAATAGTGACTCAGAAATTTCATAACTAACTATAACTAACTAAAAGCAATTCAGAAGTATTGCAACTAACTATAACTAACTAAAAGTAATCTAGAAATGTCATAACTAACTATAACTAATGAAAAGTAACTTAGAAATTTCGGAACTAACTATAACTAACTAAAAGTAATTCAGAAATGTCATAACTAACTATAACTAACTAAAAGTGCAGAATGTGACATAAAAACAACACTACTGGTAAAGTTTGTTTAAATTACCTGGTGCACTTCTCTTTTGTACTGCACTATCTTTCTGACCCTCTGTGTATGAGTAACAAATATTAATAATAATAATAATAATAATAACAACAACAATTTAATTACTTAATGAAATTCTCTTTTGTACTCTACTATCTTTCTGACCCTCTCCTTGTGGACGAGTAACTAATAATGATAATAATGATAATAATAACAACACCAATTTAATTACCTGGTGCACTTCTCTTTTGTACTGTACTATCTTTCTGACCCTCTCTTTGTGTATGAGTAACTAAAAATGATAAGAATAATAATAATAACAAGAACAAAAACTTGATTACCTGGTGCACTCCTTTTGTACTGTATTCTCTTTCTGACCCTCTCTTTGTGCATGAGTAACTAATAACAATAATAATAATAATAATAATAATAATAACAAAAATAATTTAATTACCTGGTGCACTTCTCTATCGTACTGTACAATCTATCTGACTCTCTCTTCGTGAACAAATAACTAAAAATGATAATAATAATAATAATAACAAAAAAAATAATTACCTGGTGCACTTCTCTTTTGTACTGTATTATCTTTCTGACCCTTTCCTTGTGTGCGAGTAACTTATAACAATAATAATAATAATAATAATGATAACAACAACAACAATTAAATTACCTGGCGCACTTCTATTTTGTCCTGTATTCTCATTCTGACCCTCTCATTGTGTAAAAGTAACTAATAATAATAATAATAATAATAATAATAATAATAATATTAATAATAATAATAATAATAACAAGAACAATTTAATTACCTGGTGCACTCCTCATTTCTACTGTACCATCTTTCTGACCCTCTCTTTGTGTGCGAGTAACTAATAACAATACTAATAATCATAATAATAATATTGCTAATAATAATAACAACAACAATAATTAAAATACCTGGTGCACTCCTCCTTTGTACTGTAATATCTTTCTGATGCACTCTTTGTGTACGAGTAACTACAAATAATAATGATAGAAATAATAATAATAATAATAATAACCATAACAACAACAATTTAATTACCTTTTGAAAGTCACTCTTTTGTACTGTAATAACTTTCTGACCCACTACTTGTGTACGAGTAACTAATAACAATAATAATAAAAATAATAACAAAAAATTAATTATATTACCTGGTGCACTTCTCTTTTTTACTCTACAATTTTATGACTCTCTTTGTGTATGAATAACTAATAACGACAATAATAATAATAATAACAACAAAAACAACAATTTAATTACCTGGTGCACTTTTCTTTTGTACTGTACTACTGTATCTTTCTGACAATGTCTTTGTGAAAGAGTAACCAATAACAATAATAATTATTATAAGAACAATAATTTCACTACCTGGTGCACTTCTCTTTTGTACTGTACTATCTTTCTGACTCTCTCTTTGTGTACGAATAACTAACAATAATAATAATAATCATAAATATAATAATAACAATAGCAACAATTTAAATACCTGGTGCACTTCTCTTTTGTACTGTACTATCTTTTTGACCCTCTCCTTGTCTACAAGTAACTAATAATGAAAATAATAACAATAATAATAACAACAACAACAATAATTTAGATACCTGGTGCACTTCTTTTTTGTACTGTACTATCTTTCTGACCATCTCCTTGTGTACAAGTAACTAATGATAATAAAAATAATAATAATATTAACAACATCAACAACTTAAATATCTGGTGAACTTCTGTTTTGTACTGTACTATCTTTCTGACACTTTCCTTGTGTACGAGTAACTATTTGGGGTGAGCCTGAGCTCGCCCTACATAAACGACACGAGTATGTTTGTTTGTTAGTTTGTTTGTACACGTACGTCACCCCTATTTATCCGTATGAAAAATTTACACTTTTTAATGAACTTGATAATCTTCATTGAAAACGGGTGACGTCACAATGAAATAAAAATGGCAGCTATCCAAACGAGAATCTCTTCAGCTTGCAAGTCACTGAGGTCAGCAAGACTTTACTGCTATCATAATGCAGCAAGGAAGGTTAAGAAAATAGATATGTGATGTTTTTTATTGGTGTGACGAACTCTGATCGAGTGAATGTAAGTAACTCAGCCTGTATATACCTGACTGCACTTGGAGCACTACAAATAGCAACAAGCCAAAAAACTACATTGGTAGAGTTGCCTATCTAGCTGTATCATTTGTGCAATGACTGCTTGTAGCTATCTTATAACTTGATAAGTGCTATTAGGCTAAGCAAGATACTAACTTTCACTGCTCCAGAGATTACAAAAGGTACATCATCAAGAACTGCATGATATATCAAGATCTGAGGTGCTTAGTCCACAAGCACAATCATGCATGAGTATTGTTAATCTGTCAAGATCTATTGTATATGTGTACGGTACATTGATTTACTTGCTAAGGCTCGCCCCTTAAATGTTTTATATTCCGCTAGTGATATAACAATAATAATGATAATAATAATAACAATAACAACAATTTAATTACCAGGTGAACTTCTCCTTTCTACTGTATCTTTCCGACCCTCTCCTTGTGTACGAGTAACTAATAATAATAATAATAACAATAATAATAACAACAACAACAACAAATTAATTACCAGGTGCACTTCTCTTTTGTGCTGTAATATCCCATTCCTTGTGTACGAGTATCTAATAATAATAATAACAACAATAATAACAACAACAACAATAATTTAATTACCTGGTGCACTTCTTCTTTCTACTGTATCTTTCTGACCCTCTCCTTATGCATGAGTAACTAATAAGAATAATAACAACAATAATCATAATAACAACAACAACGACAAATTAATTACCTGGCGCACTTCTATTTTCTATTGTAATATCTTTCCGACCCACTCCTTGTGTACGAGTATCTAATAATGATAATAATAATAATAACAAAAAAAACAACTTAATTACCTGGAGCACTCCTCTTTTGTACTGTACTATTTTTCTGACCCTCTCTTTGTCTACAAGTAACTAATAATAATAATAGTAATATTAATATTAATAATAATAATAACAACAATAATTTAATTACCAGGTGCACTTCTCTTTTGTACTGCACAATCTTTCTGACCCTCTATTTGTTTATGAGTAATTGATAATGATAATAATAATAATAATAATAACAGCAACTAAATTACCTGGTGAACTTCTCTTTTGTACTGTACTATCATTCTGACCCTCTCTTTGTGTATGAGTAGCTAATAACAATAATAATAATAATAATAATAATGACAACAACAATTTGTGACCATAGTTGACAAAAGGGCCCTTATGGCGGATTTTAAAATTGATCTTAATAATGGCAAATATCAACCTGTGAGTGCTTTGTTAGACAATCATTGCTTCTAAAAGTTTTATGGTAACTTTTTGCATCCTGTGGAGTAATTTTATGTTAATATCCCATTCGCCCTAAAATGCACGCACAAAATATATACAAAATATATACAATAAGCCCTGCACATCACCCCAAAGGGGCAAAAAGAGGGAAGGGTTGGTAATATTGTATGGGCCACACCCCCTAAGCTTGCGGTTGCAAATGGTGGTCAAACTGAACCCAAGGCTTAAACACTAGTTCAACGATGTGAAGCTAGTGGCCAGTTCATGAAGCAAGCTGGCCCACCCTGGCTGCAATGTATGCCTGGCACCTAAACAAGTGCCGCCAAAATCTAACTCTTACCAGCTGAACCAACTAAGGGGTCCAACTCAGGGTGGGCCATATTTGCCATGAGCAACTGAATACTCTCTGCATGAGAGCGCCAATAGTTAAGCTGTGTCAACTATGCCACTTGGGTCAGGCAATTACCCACCATGCCTTAGCATTATGTGTAATCATTAATGCTGCTTATGCCTCATGCTTAAGGTTCACAATAGAGAGGGAGGCATATTGATTATAGCCTTGCAAGCAGGCTGATTTAGAGGTACTTATAATGAATTAGGGGGA